TGATGGTGCCATCAGATTTTAAGTGCGGCCTAACATACAGAAGATAACTGTACCATAATAGGGAAAATGTCCAAAAAATTATAAACACAAAAAAGCGCACCTAAATTTCCGACCTATTAAGCAGCTTTTCTAAATGTTCTAATACGTGAAATATATGCAAAAATATGTGCAGAATCGGATGGTGCCATCAGATTTTAAGTGCGGCTTAATATACAGCAGATAACTGTACCATAATAGGGAAAATGTCCAAAAAATCATAAACACAAAAAAGCGCACCTAAATTTCTGACTTATTAAGCAGCTTTTCTAAATGTTCTAATACGTGAAATATATGCAAAAATATGTGCAGAATCTGATGGTGCCCTCAGATTTTAGGTGCGGCTTAATATACAGAAGTTAACTATATCATAATAGGTAAAATGTGTAAAAATTATAAATATAAAAAAATCACACGTAAATGTCCATTGTTTTTAAATGTTCTAAAGGGTGAAATATATAATTATTATATTGAGAAATATACATGTGTGTATATTCTTAATTTGTTAGTTAGTTTTATTTCAGTTACACGCCGAAATCAATCCGGCCATTCAGACCCTACTCGATTCCATTGAAACAATAGAACATGCAGATACTCATGTGCGACTGGAAAATTTCCCATTAACTTTTATCGTTGAACCGTTTAATGTCGACTACTTTTTGTATTTTGGAGCCATACATACAAGTGTATTAGATCATAATGTTATATGGTTAATTAGCAGACATGTAATGAATGTTACAGATGACCAAGTGAGTTTTTAAGATAAATACGAATTCGTCATTATTAATTAGAATTATACAAGTAAGGTCCAAATTAAAAAAAATCTGATGCTCCAATTGTCAGTTCATCTTAATTGTTTCCGATCATTATTAAGATCCAAAAAAGTGTGGCTAATTGGTATTCTTGTTTTATCATATGATTGTTTTGCGTACTTTCCTTCCTTTTTAATAAAATATCACGAAAATAATTGCAGATAGAACATTTTCGATATTTGTACGACGTATTCGATGAACCAATGTTGAGAAATTTTAGACCAATACCTATTGATGTGGCTGAAAGAAGTGTTTTTCATGTTTGCCCATCGACAGTTCTTATCTCTACTCTTTTGCAACACCTACCGCCTGAGGATACTTATATTAAGCCAAAATTATGCAAACATTCCGAAGAAGAAGAAGAAGAAGAGGAAGAAGAGGACGGGGAAGAAACTACAGAGCAATCAATCTGTTATTGTCCATGAAATTTAATTATTTAATGCGTACGAAATTGTTTTCTTTAGTTATTACTATTTCGTGTTTTTTTTCCGTGTGAAATATCGAATTACAATTTATAAGATTTGAATTGTATTTAATTTAATATTAGTTAACAAATCCCATACTAAAGAAAAGTCTAACGCAGCTGCATGTAAACATCATATCTAAATGATAAACGTCACAAACAAGATAAAAACACTCACCAAGTCGTGCCGGTGTCCTTCGTAAAGGACATTCCTTGATTAACTCGAACACAGAATTTTACAGAAGTTGATTCCTGTGTAAAAAAAAACGTTTTTAAAAACAAAATACATTCATTCGAGGCTGGTAATTGGTCTTTTTCACATAACTTAAAACTGGGTAAATAATTAAGTGATAATATATAATAGTTAATAATGATTTCATTTGATAAGCACAAAAAACATCTAATTTTAGTCTAAAAAGATTACTTACCATTTTCAAAATCAACGCAACACTCTACAAAACACAAACATCACGCTAAAACATTCGACTTTTTCGCGCAAAACGAAATAAATTGTTTTGAATGCCCGCGAGTTCCTACACCATATGATTTTAAAAGGATTGCTGAATGTTTTGAAATCGACGTTCATTTTACCGACCCACTAGTACATTTGAACTACTATTTCATTAACCGGTAATAACAGGCTTAATTTTTAAAAAGTTAGTTTCAAATTATCAATTACATTGCAATTATTCATATTTAATGAAACGTTTCGATATCTATAACAAGAAATGCCCGAAATATACACATCCATGCTGACACCAAATCAGCTGCGGCACAGTTGCTTTTTCGCATTTAAAAAGGTAATTTAAAAATCAAATTTTAATTTGTTTTTATGCCCTAACATTAATTCATTCAAGCGGACCGCATGAAACGTTTTAATGAAAAAAATAATTACTTCGTTTTTAAACTTTTTTAGAAAGTCCTAAACTAACTTTTTTTATTATTTTAGACATGAAATTATTACATCATGATGCTTAAGGACCCAAAATAGACTCTACAATAACTCTAAAAATATATCAAGACAACGCAATAATTACGTACCCTGAGAACATTCAAAAATGTTGCCTATTAAAACTATAACTGAGCCAAAAAGGGTAAAACAGCAAAACGAGCTTTTAAGTATACTAAAACAAAGCTAAGAGAACACAAGCTCAATTGTAAACTAACGACAACATAAACATTTATTTATTTACACCACTTTACACTGACGAAAGATACGCTCCTTAAAAATAGTCTTGTGATTGTCGTTTCTAACGCAGTTTTCTTATTCACAGGCCCATTACAACTTCCAAAAACAATACGTGCCAGTACAGCAAACCCTGCATTCATTCAAATACACCTGTTTTTCCTTTTACAAAATACAAACTGGCAATTACAATTTCCTTTATTATTGTCGCTTGAGGATAAAATAAATCAAAAAAAAAGAAAATTAAAATGGCACTACTACCAAACTATATATACAAATACAGTGTACAATTGTGGACTTTGAAGTCCAAAAATAAATATAAAATTATCTTACGACAATATCTCTTCATTTTCTCCACTTCATCATTTAATATAATATAATAATTACACGCAAATAAATTACAAAGACACGATAATTAATTATTTAAGGGCAGTAGTTGCGGTTAATAGAAAGTATTGCACTACAGAAAAATAACCAAATAATAAATAGAACTTCCTTGGTTCTATTTCCAACAACAACTCGAATTACACATTTTCTTCACCGGTGCAAAAATAACAAAAAAGATTAAGATTAAAAAACAATAAAAAAAGAGACTCCCTATTTCTCTTTTTTTTTTTTCTTTCTTAAATAAGGCTGGGTCATTGGTCCCAAACCTGTAAAATGTTTCACAGTTTACAGAAATACGCTCGTTAAAAATGACCTTCAATACACGGACTCGGGCAACAAGTGGAATGTTTTTAATATACATACTTTTCATTTATTTTACTTTCTTATGAATTATAACATTTTTTTGGTATCGCGAAGGATGGTTGATAAATGGCACTGAAATCAGTTCACGCGGTCATATCTAACGAGCTCTCCGACAAAAAAGTTCGGCTACATTTTATTTACAATATAATCAAAAATTGCTATACTCGATTTGTACATCTAACTCAATTATTCTAGCTAAAAAACGCTTTAATTCATCCACTTTCGACAGTTTGGGGCCCCGCACATACACGATATCTTATGCTGGTCGTCTTCAATGTCAAATTTGTAGTCGTATGCCAACTAAAATATCAATTTGGATTTAAAAAATGCCTAATATATATGATACCGACCTTCATATTGATAATTACAACATTAATACCATCTCTTTATAGCGGTNTTGCCTTTTCCTCTTCACTAACCTCGTCATCTTCATCGTCTTCTTCGATGAGTTTTAATCCCAAGAACTTGCTGTATGATTCCGGTAAGGTAGTTTCTGGTGAAGAACTACTAATAATAGAATCAGGAGTATCGTTGTCTCTACTGAACAATTCAAACTTCCTATCTTCGTCATTGTCAAATTTGATAAGTGGGAACTCTTGGTCGTAGAAACCTCGCTGAGTAGATGGCGGAGGTTTTTCTGGTAACGGTTCCAAAGGACCGTACGGCTTTGTATTGTAGTAATCAGTAAAGCCTGGTACGGTGGCATTCCCATAAGAACCAGTAAGATCACCGTAACGAGAATCATAATTCTTTAAACTAACTTTGGATAAGTCACCAGAACCAAATACAGGCACAATTGCATAATTTTTACCAAGAACAGGCTCTTGAACGACCATCGCAGGCAACGTTCTCAACTGTGATAACACCCCGTCTATATAAGAGTCGTAATCTTCCTCCACCTTCGAACATTTTCTCTGTCGTTTCTTGGGAGGCCCACCGGCAGATTCTTTATTTAACAACTGATTCTGCCTTCTCTTCTGTTGGTAGACTCTTCTCTTCAACTTTTTCAACTCTTCTTTCTGATCAGCTGCAGATCTTTCGACCATATCCAATGACTCCATCTCTTCCTTAATCTGTATGTCAGAACGACTTTGATCAGAAACTTCAGAGTGTTGTGACGACTCATCGACCAATTCTTTTTTAACTTCTAGTGGCGTTAAAATTGGACTTTGCTGAGACGAAACGGACATTGGCTCCTTCTTGATGACTAATGGAGGTGTCTGAAGGCTGGAATCTTGGCTACATGACGATCTGGGAGTAGGAGGCGACAACAGCTCGTCCCTACTTGACGTACGACTCGGTGGAAGACATTTTTTCACGTCAATATGTAACTGAGTAGTCGCAGGTGTTGAAACATGCAGTTGTTGTTGATGCAATGTTTGATTTTGTTGCTGTTGCATCGACTGATTTTGCTGCTGTTGTACTGGTTGACTTTGTTGCTGCTGTAGCAACACTTGATTCTGCTGCTGCAGCAACACTTGATTCTGCTGTTGATTTTGTATAGATTGATTTTGTTGCTGAATCGATTGATTCTGTTGTGAAATAGGTTGGCTTTGCTGTTGAATAGATTGACTCGGTTGTAAAATAGATTGACTTTGCTGGTACATAGATTGATTTTGTTGCTGCGAAATTTGTTGTTGATGCAACGCATTTTGCTGTTGTTGTAAAACCTGTTGCGATTGTTGTTGTTGCTGAAAGCTTTGTTGTTGTTGCTGCTGAAAGCTTTGTTGTTGTTGCTGCTGAAAGGTTTGTTGTTGTTGTTGCTGAACAGGTTTCGAAATAAAGGACGTTTCTCTACTAAAGATCGTTCGAGCTTGTGTTGTTTTGAGTGCCTGACTGGTGGATGTGGGTGCTTCGGTTTGTTGTAAAAGTGGAGGCAACAAAGGGGTAGGTGTAGGAGGCACGGGACGAGCTAACTGCGCCTCCAAGCTTGGAACTATAGGTAAACTAGGTGCTGTGGTAGTTGTATTATTACTACTGCTGGTCGAAACCAAACTAGAAGGAGACGCTGTAGTTAAAGATTGCGTCGTTACACAGCCTGTATTTTGAAGCAATTGCTTCAGCAGTACATTCTGCGAATCTTCTATTTTAATCGAATTACCAGCAACATGAGTGAACTTTATACTATTATTTATTATCACAGCGGACGTTGATGTACCCCTCTGAGGCACAACCTCTTCCTTTTTCTTGTTGTCTTTAGAACCGTTATCTTCTTCTGTATGTGCAGAGGATTTAGATGTAAAATTGGTTCTAGTGAGCTGCGTATGCAGAAGGGTTCCTGAGGACGATACTGTCGGTTTAAATGAATCATTTGATTGGGATACAGACGTCGTGTGAGAACTGTTTCCGGTTGAAGATACAGAATGAACTTGAGGTTGTTGTTGCAATAAGGTGGTAACCACTGGAGAAACCACGTGAGGTTGAGCACTTATTAAGGAAGGGCTAAAAGCTGTTCGTGATATTGACATAGGTGTTTCGAGGATGCTAGCAGTTGTTATCGTACTGGGAGAAGTTTGAGCTACTGTGGCCGCTGGATGGGACTGAAGCATGGCATTCAAACTTAATGAGCCCTTCTTGGCTTGGGGAGAAGACGTACGGGGAACGCTACTTTCTGTTGCAGAAGTGATTACAGATGAAGAACGGTATAGAGGAGGGGCCTGGGAAATCACCTGAACACTTGAGGACGCCAGTGAAGTAGTAGATGTTGCCAACGATTTATGCTGCTGCTGTTGTTGCTGCTGCTGTTGGTTGTCTGCACTTATGCAAGAATTACGATTTGAAAGTAAATTTGTAATAACAGTTGATGAGGATGTCGAAGAAGATGGTGTTAAAGATGCAGTTACTTGAGAAGATGGAGATTCTGATATAGAACTGTTGGTTTTAGTAAATGAACCAGTAAAAGATAAACTACCGGTGTGCTCACTTCTTTTCTGTATAATTGCTGTTGTTAAAATTGTATTCTGCTGCTGTTCACTAACTGGCATGGGTCTAGAAATTTTAGGGGGTTCTTTACCTACAGCAGGTTCCTTTGGGTCTGTACTTTTCACAAGGGTTGTAACATTAGCCGAAGAAGTTACGGTCGTTGTATGCAGAGAAGACAATAAAGTGCGCAGTTGTTGTGACACGTTTGCCATATTGGTGGTCAGTTCAGTGGGTTGTGAAAGAGGCGATAGTTGAGGCATAGCGGTCGCCTTAGTCGTGCTTTTTATTGCTACGAAGCTGCTATCTGTACTATCTTTTTCAGTCGTTTTTGGAAGCGGTGCACGAGAAGGTGTTAAAGGGGGAGGAGTGACTTTCAATTTCTCCTTTTTCCTTTCGCTTTCCTGAGAAGATGAGGTATTGACGAAACTAGTTGCAGGTGACTTCTTAACAGCATCTTCCAAGACAGTGGGAGGTTCGCCAGTTATGTTTTCGATCATATCTAGAACGTCCTCGAATGAATCGAACTCTCCCGTAATTCCTTTCCCGTCTCTTCTCCTGCTTTCTAGGGCCTGCAGAGCGATATTATCAAGCATTTGTTCCTGCGAAGGAGTTGGAGAAGGTATGGAAATGACAACAGACTTATCGGTGTCACCATCGCTATGCCCTTCAACAGACTGAGATGTAATAAACGATGCAGACATAGATTCCCCACTTCTACTACCTATCTGCATATTGGTTTGTTTCTCTTGGATTACGTGAGCTGTCATCTTTAATTCGGGAGCGTTATGAACTATAACTGGCGATGATCTCTTAGTTACAACAGGACTTGGAAGTCTCTGTATACAATCACTTACAATAACGTTTGCGATCTGAATTGTTTCGATCTTTCTTAAAGACACTTCTTGAGGGGATTCTACAATTTCTTTTTTAAAGAAATGTTTAGTGACTTGTTTTTCTTCCGCAGGTTCTTTTTCGATAGATTTCGATTTCTGTTCGGCTGCAATTTTTTCAGGGAATTCTTTCTTCGATTTATCATCGTCGTTAGTGGAGCTATCTGGCGATACCGAACCATCTTCGAAGATTTTCTTTGGCAAACCTGTATCCTGTGTCGACAAAGATAGAGAAGACGACGGTTTATCAATGACCCTTACGTTGGGAAGTTTACTTAAATCACTTGCACTTATAACTGGAATGGTAAATCTAGATGGCAGTACAGAGGCGTTTCCACTGACTATAGTCAAAGGCGAAGCCGAAGTTATAAGCTTGGGAACACTAATAATATTACTTCGGGCAATACTAGTTTTAATTGGCAGAATAAAATTCGTAATGCCAGAAGTAATAGTGCTCCCGGTAGTCAATTTTGAAGGTTGGGAAGCGATAACAACATTTGCATTTGTTTTGGTAAAGATTGCCGACTGGGTAGAATTTCCAGAACCCTTGGTGTTGCTAATAGAAGTAACAGTTAAGTATGTAGTAGTGTTTTCGTTAGTGCTAACGTTAGTTAATTTAACGTTGTTAGCGGATTGGATAGACTGAACGAAAGATGTGTGAGTTCTTGGGATGTTAGATAAAACAATGGGGCTTGCTTGTGGCTGTGGCGAAGAAGAGATCATTGTGGATTTCTGATGTGAATTAGCTGCATATCTGTGGATTTCATTTATATGTTTGTTATTAATGAATTCCTGTTTAAACAACTTCTGTTTTCTTGATCCCTCATCTATAAGTTCTTCAAAGTCTTCTTTGGTTGATATCTGTTCCTCTGGAGATTTAATATTGGGATCAATTATAACAATTTCTGAATCTTCTAAGTTCGATATGAGTTCTTCGTCAGCAGACTGAGTGTAATTTTCTGGAGAACCTTCGTGAGCTGTATCTTCTTGGTCTGGAGAATCTGGAACCTCGCGCATCGTTAACAATCGTTTGGAAGAAATTTCTTGGACAAGATAGTTTCCTGCAGTTACGTCTTGAGTTTTTCCCTGCATTATCATTTCTTCGTCACTTGTTGTGGGGCTTTGAATGGCTACATTCACAATCTGCATATTTTTGCTGTTCATTTCACCCATATCGTCGCCATAATCACCATCATCGTCTTCTTTGTCTGAATATTGGGCATCCCCCGAAATATCCACCACCATGTTTCCCGGAAATAAGAGAAATTCATCCCCAATCTGCTCTGACTCTAAGGGACTCGCTATTACTTCATTGATGTCTGATTGTGAAAAAGTTTCTATAACTGTTATATCGTCACCGTCATTTTGCTGTGCTGCAGAGCTCAGTGATACTTCTGTCGATACGACGCCGTTATCATCGTCGTAGTCCATCATATCTTCACATGGTATCCTTTTGCCACCAGGACTAGTTGTGTTTAAAACCACAACAGGTCTTTGGCCACTACTCTGTTCTTTTAAGTCTGTAGTTTCGGGGACTTTCTTTCCCGAAATAATTCTATGTTGTAACGGTCTGCTAGTGGAAGTATTCGGTGGGGGAGTTACTGGTGGAGAAGAACTATCTTCGAACTCATTGTAATCGCTGCTAACCAAAGAGGAAACTTTACTGGTGGCAAAAGATTGCAGGTTTGTTTTTGCCGGTGATTTTTTTTTAAGTATGGACACTTTACTCAAATGGGACTCCTTTTTCATCCTCATGGGAACAACCGAAGCCTCCCCAGATGATTCAGATTTATCGTCTTTGTTTTCTGGGACACGTTTAGCGCCACGGCCGAAGCTGTTCCACATAGGAGAGCCACCCCTCAAACCCAGTTTAATAAAACCAAATTTTCCAAACATAGGAGGCCTCGGAATCGGGTTCAAAGGATTATGTGGGTTGCCACCTCCAGAAGAATCACAGTCAGGGGGTGTTGGTACTGGATTTAACGGATTATATGGATTACCACCACCAGTGTGGTCGGATTCAGGTGTATACGGAGTCCTAGGGGTACTTGGGTTCTCAACACTCAATGGCCTTTCAGGAATGGCCGGGCTGTTACTAGGAGGTCGTCTCATCATGGGAGATTGTATAGACGCTACGGAAGGGCTCCTAGGCAAAGGTGAGCTCACTGGTTGCTGTGGATGCAACATCGGACTGTTTGGAGGCTGATTAATATGCTGATGGATGACAGGGCTTCGTGATATAGGAGAACTGGGTGGCTGGTTGTGTCCGATCATTGGACTACGTGGAGGCATGGGTGACGTTGGTTGAACTGAATGCGGAGACATAATTTGCTGGCCCTGGTTAATCATGGGACTTTGAGGAGGCATGGGAGAACTAGGGGGTTGATTTTGTAATCTATTTTGATTTTGAAGCTGTTGAGCCAGCTGCTGTTGTTGCTGTTTAGCCAGTTGCTGTTGCTGTTGTATCATGAGTTGGTGTTGCTGTTGTGTCAACGCTTGGGGCTGATTTACAGCTAAAAAAATTACATCTACTGATTTCTTAATTAAAAATTACAAGCTGCAAGAATGTAAAATAAATTTCTTATGCAAATAAGCGTTGCTTAACGAATAAACTATTTTATTTGCGACTAAAAATTACTTAATCATTTCAAAATTACTATTTCAATATCACCTTTATTTGTTAACTTAACTTAATTGTTCTAATAAAACGAGCATTTTAAACGGAACTAATTGTTATTCAAAAGTTAAACAAGATATCAATTCAATGTTTACTTAGTTTTAAACACTTACCTTGTTGTTGCTGAAGTTGCTGCTGTTGTTGTTGTTGCTGCTGCTGCTGCTGTTGTTGTTGGGCCAACTGTTGCTGTCTCAGTATAATCTGCCGTTGCTGCATCAGCTGTATGGCTCTCTGCGAATGCAGTATGTTTATATCAGTCTGTTGACCATCGACGTTGACTTGTTGCTGTTGTTGCCCCTGCTGTTGCTGAAGGAACACCTGTTGCTGCAAATGTCTCTGCAATATTTGCTGCTGTTGTTGTTGAGTTAACTGTTGTATAGGAGTGGTAGGGGGGCTGTTTAGAGGCGACTGTGTTCCACTGCCAGTTCCTGCGACCGCCCTTTGCTGAAATGCCACATTCGAAGGTGACGTCAGCCTCGATCTTTGCTGCTGCTGCTGTTGTTGTTGATCGCCCATGCTCGTTCTTACAACGAATCGCGTTTGCTGATTATTCCCTTGGCGCATTATATCGTTCGTAACGTAACCCACAGGACTGGTTACCATTCTACGGTGTTGGGGGGAGGTCATACGTGGCGCTGGAGGAGGGAGACATACCTGAGAGGGGGACTGCACGGGTCCGGGGCTTCCCTCGCTTTGCGATTGTGGTGTACCGATACGAGGAGACATGCCACTGGGCGGGGGTCCGCCTCCAGGGCTCTGAATTAAACTAGCGACTGAACTGGGACCTGGAGAGTGAGAAACAAGCGGTCGCGGACTCTGAAGGGGAGAATTATGCTGGGACGATGTCATTGGAGACGCTGTTGGTGACATCATAGGCGAATGAGACGCGTTAGAAGAATGAATTGGTGAAGACACAGGGGGGCCTAAAGGCGAGTGTGTCGGTTGATTGCCTGTACCAATAAGAAGGGGAGATTGGCCAGGACTTGGTCGTTGCTTGGCCTGTTGCTTATTGCGATATTCCTTTAAACGATGCCGAATTAATTACATTTTCAAAATAAAAAATAGTTATAGCAATAAAGCATACCTGCATTAGAATAGTATGTTGTCGGCTCTGTTTTCTGCTTGATTCGAGGTGTTTCTGAAGTATAGACTGCTCTGAAGAAATCCTCTGCAGTTCTTTGGCATCGACATCTGTCAGCTGATTTCCAGACTTCCTCAACTGTCTCTGTTTGCTATTCAAAGACTGTAACAACCAAATCATTAAATCCTGTACAAATTAATTTATTTCTCATGTATTACCTTTCTCGATTTTCTCAACTTTTGTACTTCTGTCTCGTAAAATTTTAGTTGCTGGGATAAGATCGTGTTTTGATTGTTCAACCATTGATCGTACACCATATGTGCCTGTCTGTCTTGTTCGGTTACGACGTTTTCAGGGGGCAAAGAGGGTGCCGGCAACAGCGAAACGTTGAACATAGGCACTCTGGATGTCATATCGGTCGGGGGCTGGGGAGTAGGTGCAGGACTCGGCCTCGTAGGACTTTGCTGCCACTGATTTGCTTGCTGTGACTGTTGAGCCCCAAAATTCACCTGACCACTATTCTGGATGCCTTGCACAGGCAAAAGACCTTGGGCTAACAAAAATAGTTTGTTTTCAAGCAGTACTATTACCGATTTCATGTAACTAATGTACTATTTTAATTTTTACCTGGTAGTCCTTGTTGTTGGCTGGTTGGTGTGGCCCTAATTCCCCCACTACTAAATACATCTGCCTTAAGTCTTTCAAAATCGTGTTCGCTTAAGAGACCCGACCTAGAGGGCGTCGAAGGTCCCGTTTCTTTAGTCTGGGACTGCAACTGATTTTCCTGTTCCCTTTTTTCTTGCTCTAGCAATTCTTCAAGAAGTAAGGGCTGTTCCTAATTAAACAATTGGATAAACTCAATCGTACCGATTAAAACTGCGTAAAGTTTACCTATTAATTTTTTTATTGTATATTATCTAAAAAATCTTTCATAACTTGTGAAAAGAGTAATCATATTTTTATTACTTGATACTAAAGGATAAGTACAAGCAAACAATTTTTACCAATTCAGTTTCGTTTAAATAAAAGTATACTTAATCCCATTCATCAAATGATTAAGATACAAAAAGTATTCTTATAAAACTATGTATTATTTGTTGCTTCATGCTATCGCAATCTAAATATTTAATAACAAGAATTTAAAAAAAAGCATGCAATAAAAAAAAAATAATACCACACACTAACATTATTCTTAGCTACCACCAACCTATAAGTAAAATGGACCTTCAATAAATAAATGAATAGAATAATTACTGTCTTTACTGATAGACTATTTTAAGCAATGGAGGGGCGTTGTCTCACCTGAAGGAGCATGGGTCTCCGTTGCAGGTGAGGCGGTAAAGGCATGGCCTGAAGAGGCGATGGATACATATACCCCTGCGGCAGGTGGCTCAGCGACCCGGGGGGCACTGAACCCATGCGATACCCCATCTACCACAAACATGCAAGCAACACCAATCACCTCAACCACTGTTAGTTATACTAACAAACGAATCGTAACAGAAACATAATGAACAATGATAAAAAAAAATTAAAAAAAAAAACAGAACTATTGCCGAATTTACATCATCTATACTTCCCACAACCAGACAGAAAACAAAATAGTTCCAACACCTTTATAGTAATTGCAAATACCCCCAAAGTACTCCTCATGTGGTACGTTTAGTTAAATTTCTTCATGTAACTCATTTAAGTATATATAATTCAATTTATGATACATATTTTCATTTTATAATTTCCTTTGAACTATTCGGTATTAAAGCAGCAATTTTTTTTATCTACTCATTCTCTCAAGAACAATAATTAGATAATGCTAATAATATAGATATAAAATCAACTCTACATGTCATTATAAAAACGCAAAGAATACAATTATGAAGGCCTAATATACATACTTAAACAAATAAATAATAAACAAGTAGTCAATAAGTTAGTTAATTAGTATTAAATTCTGAGTAAACAGCGACAAAGAGCAGACATTTTGAATCACATGCAAAACTTCCATACCCAAATAAAAAAAAAACTGATAAAAGAAATTTAAAACAAAACAAGATAAACGCAAGTGGTAGACAAATAATAATAAACGTACCTGGCTTGTCGAGCCTGGATAGGGGGGAGGAGGGCCCGGGTACGGTGGAGGCGGTGGCGGAGGAGGTGGCGGTTTAGGAGTAGTATTCATTCGAGCAGACAATCCTGTATTTTGCAAGACAGGATTTGCCAGACGAGGTACTGCTCCTCCAGTACTAGCCAAGCGCATATGTAATTTTTGATTTTGTACTAAAATAATGAAAAACAATTACTCTGAGAATGTACAAAAGAGAATTTATAATTACATTGCATTTGAAGTTTCTGAAAATAATTTGAAGGAAATGTAAGGGACACATTGTTATTTGGAGTAACTATTCCAATAACTCCTTCAGGGGACATGAGCTTAGTTCCTGGAGCCATTGGTCTTCCTAAAGCCACTGCTTGTTGCACCTGCAGGGAAATTGGCAATTAAGCAACGCTCTTTTTTTTTAAGAGAAAATTTACTACCTGATGCAACATCTGCTGATGTATTTGTTGTTGTGTATTGAGTTGCATCTGGACCGTAGGTTGAGAAGTTGCGGTGCTCCTGGAAACTACAATAGTTGAGGGTGACTGCAAAGTGGACTGTCCAGAATTTGTAGGAATGCCGCCTACGGGTACCATTTCTTTAGGTACTACAGTCTCTGTCTTAACAGTGATGTCCACCGGTGGTAAGACAGGCTGAGGTTGAGGAGGTGGTTGCTGTTCAATCGGTTGTTTTTGCATCAAACTGTAATAAAAGTTTAATTTGCACCAAGAATTATTTTATTTTCAATAACAGAAACTTACCTATTTTTAACTTTTTTGTCTTCTTTATCTTGTTCAGAGTCAACCAAATCCAAACTATCTAAAATATTTGTTTTTTCTCCAGAAGATAATGGATCTAGTTCAGTGTCTGCATATGTAAGAATGTTAAAATCTGGTCCCATTTCAGCTAAAGCAAATTAACAATTACTCAACTGGAAAATAATCAGAAAGAAAAACATGAATACCTAACAGTTCATCATCATCCTCTCCCAATCCACCCAGAATGTCAAGAACACCCTGCAACTCTACCATGGTTCCAGTTTCCTGTTCCAATTTCTCCAACTCCGCCGTCACGTTATCAGGGATCTCTTGTTCACTCTGGGGCAATGTTTGCTGCTGCTGCTGCTGTTGTTGTTGCTGCTGCTGCTGTTGTTGTTGCTGCTGTTGTTGTTGCTGTTGTTGTTGTTGGTGTTGAATTTGTTGATGCTGTTGTTGTTGTTGCTGCTGCTGCTGCTGTTGTTGTTGTTGGGCATGCTGTTGGTGCATTTGTTGTTGATGTTGAATATTACCTGCTGCTCCGGGCCCCCCATAATGTAATGGAGACGTGTTAGGACCAGTACCCATCGAAGCTGGTACTGAATCAGGTCTTTTAGGTTGCATGGTGTTCATAGAATTGGAATTTTGTTTTTGTATTAGTTGCTCGAATTGGTCCAGACTGTGAGAGCGTTCTAAAGTTGAATGGGTAGTTTGACGAACATTAGTAGCTTGTTGAAAATTATTAGGAGGCGGCTGTTGAGAGGACTGTTGAGAAAGTTGCGGAGGGGCCTGCTGTTGGTGTTGCAAGTTGTTCTGTATTAAATTTCTCTGAAAAAACATACAAAGTCGAACCGATTTAGAACTTGTAAGTTTATAAATTTACCTGTAAAAGAAGTCTCATTCTGGGTTCGAGACCCTGCAATTTTGGATCATTCCCAGGTATCCTAACTCCCACTAGACCCCCTGGCTGCCTTAGTAATATGCTACCCGAGCCCACGACGCCCCTAGGTCGTGCTATTCCCGGAGGCAGCGGATGTCTGAAAGTTACGTCTCCTCCGGGTCCACTAATATTCTGATTTGTTACATTCAAGCCATCCTGATCAGGCGAGGAGGAATCCTGTTGGGGTGGCCACACTCTTTGCTGGCCTTTGCCTGGCAGCAACTGTTCGTCCAGCTTTTTAAATTGTTGCCTCTGAAGCAAATCCCGCAGTTGGTGATTTATTACTAGATTGTCCCCTGCCGAGGGGGGCGCGGTAGTAGAGGATTGAAGAAGCGCCTTTTGGGACAAATTCAAACGTCTCGTTTAGCGTTATAATGTGATATATGAGCTAACAAATTTCCGTCACCAAAGGAATGATAACATGCTACTTCAACTGTGCAGAAAAAAGAAGGCAGAAGCACTTCGTGAATACTGCTACGAATAACTCTTTCTCAAAACAGGACACGTCAAAAGTTTTCTTTCACCTACAGGGCTGTTTCATGCGTAATCGTAAAAAAATAGGAACGGACGAAGCGTGTGTTATTAAAAGTTTAATTGGGCAAGTGATATATTAAAAACTAAAAGTGCATATAAAAGACGCATATAGTAACTACGAATACTACGGAAAATAAAAATAACCTACTGAAACATTATCAATTATTAATAAATTATGTCTCGTAGTAGTACTTACTGGTTCTGAAGAAAATTGAGAATTGTTATCATTTGCATGTCTTGGAGGGCCCACCATGCCAGCTGAGGAAAAAAAGGAAAGATAAAATACATAAAAAATTGATTAATAAAACTAAACAAACCTTGCGTTCGTTGCTCTTGTAATATATGTTGTTGTTGCTGAGCCTGTTGATGCCTCAAAGCCTGCAGCTGCTTCCATTGGCGTTCTTGTTCAGCCTCTTTAGCGTTTTTCTGTTGCTGAGCTATTTTTTCCTGGTCCTTTCAAAAAAATATACAATAAATAAAATATGAAAATGATATTTTTTCTTGGTAAATGGCTCAAGAGCTCTTAAAACCAAAATTTTTTTTATTATTATTGAACAACTAATTGTATCATCAATGATAATTTTAAAATAATATTAAGAAACACATTATAATTATCACTAATTTAAAAGTGTTTCATGGTTATAATTATATAGATTTTAAAAACAGTTTTGATAAAAAAACAATTACTAAAATTAAAATTAATTAACAATGAATATCGATTAATTCAATTAATTTTCATTATGCATAAGGCGTCTAATTTTATTTAAAGCAAAAAGGAAAAGGATTAAAATTCAAAAAGCATCAAGTTTGGTTAGTAAAGAAGCTACGACTACAAAGACAACACTACAAATACTAAACTACTACATCATACCAGGTTTTTATTTACATTGACTACATGCAAAACCTACTAGAGAAAATTAAGGAATAACTAAATAAGGGTAAGGGTCAGACCTTTTCTGCTAAAACCAAATAATTTGTTAAATAAATCATTCCAAATTTTTATATTTATAAATTTTACTGTAGTCGATAATTTAAAACATGATTAGTATATGTTATTAACTTCATTCTACGAAATAGCTCTGAGTACATATAAATTTTTGGTTTAATCAGACGGTGCTTTTATGAAAAGAAAATAAGGATATTTTTCAATAAAGGATTAATACTGATAATATCATCATTAAATTGAAATATGATAATAACAACGAATACACGCACACGATATCATGCTCATTACTCAAAATTAAATCTCGGCAATCGCAGTTACTTAAAAAAAAAAAATGAAAATTAAACTGCAAAATTAAAATTAATTTGTACCAACAATCTCCATTACTAAAAATTAATAAAAATAAATTTCCATCATTAACTCGATTATACAATGAACTATTTAAAGGAGACCGTAGGCACAAACGACACCAAGAAAATAAAAAACGAAATTCTAACTTTTTACGCAAAAGTAACGAAGAAAAAAAATTTCGAAAAAACCATTCACATCGAGTTTGAGCAGCACGTATTCTCACCAATGATACGGTTTCATACGTTTCCTGACCGAGGGACGGGAGGGTGCGCATAATCTCACTAGGGGTCAGCACACGTATTTGCTGATCGGCAGCGGAGGGATGGATTATGATTGGTCGATTGAGGGAGCCGTGCTCCTGGTAGTGGGGGTTCACGGTCACGTTGGGAGCAGGACCCGTGTGATCGCGCCCTCCCAACACGTGCTTGTTGTGTACGGTGAACTGTTGGTGCGTGGTGGGAGATGCAGGAGTCGGCGTAGGCAACGACAAGGGCCGGGGAGGAATTGGGGGCGACGAGTTCGACGATGACGACGACAAGGACGACGAACTCGAGGACGATGATGAGGAGGAACAGGAAAGGGATGCGACCGTCCCAGAGCTACTGGCATTCGAAATATTGGTTAGTAATGGTAGCATTACGGGGGTGATGGTTGTAGTAGTAGTTGGTGTTGTTGTAGTTGTTGGGGTGCACACCTCTGAAATGGCAGCGGACAATAGGGTTCCTTGGGTCTGCAAGGGGACGGCTGACGTCTTTGAGATCGCAGCCGCAGTCACTGCTGCTGAGGACGACGTCGTGCTAGCTACAACGCCTTCCTTGCTCATCTAAATCGTCATGGGGTCGAAAAATAAGCATATATTTAGGAAAAAACAGGATAAGTTAACGACACAAATGTACCGTTTTTTACGAAATAAAAGCAAACAATCACACGCTTAAAAATAAATGAATAACACGTACACATACGCGCACATAAATTAAACAAGACACATAGTACATACAGGATACCTCTGGAGTAGAATACCAATATAAAAATAGTCCAAATTTTAAGTACGGTCCAGTTTATAGTTTCTTTACGGTTGAATTCAAATGTCAGAGACAAAATGTATATGTGAAATATCCTGTATGCCGATAAGACTGTAGTTGGGTTAGTGACATTCGTTGCCCTTTAACGTTAAACCCCCAATTATAAAAAAAAAAACAAACGATTTGAAAACAAAAAGCCAAACACTTAAATATTCACACAATCAATCAGTTGTACTTCATAATTCTTAATCTGAAGGCACTTCTATGAAAATATATGTTTCAATCAGGGATTCCCCTATCGTACGTAATAACTTTTTTCAAGTTTGCTCACCTGTTGTTGTTTTTTCATTCTTAACGCGGACCTATTATCGCGGGCTTGTTGCAAGTAGGGAGCTTTCTGTTCGGTACTCAACGTCCTCCACTTTTTTATAATCTGCTTGTATCGATCATTCCATGTAGGATATTCGGTTTTCCATTCCGGATGGTTCATGTTGGCATAGAGAACGGCCGATATGGTGGCACCGGATCCTAAACCTTCATCAGCTTTCATTTTCTCTGAGGAACGCTGATTATAAGTAGAAGGCACCACAGCGTTAGTTGTTTCGACTTCGGTGGTTGCCACGCCTCCAGTCCCGCTGTCATTTATTGACACCCAGGGACTTGGAGGCTCAGAAAACGCTGGACTAAACTGGGGACTACTATAAAAAATCACAATGATAAAGTCAATATAAGAACAATTTATTTTTAAAATAACAGCGACTGTAACTTACTTGCTGTATTCAGAATGATAAGGGGATTGCGGTGGGAAGCTTATAGGTGAGTTGAGACTGTTTTGGTTAGCGTTAGTTAATGTTGTAGGTCTCATAGAGGCAGATACGACCTGAGGAAGAACAGGCTGATTGTTATTGCTGTTACTACTGCTGTATGTGCTATTGGTGACTGTATTAGACTTTGGAAATACCATATTACTTTCCTCAGATTCTTGTGATTCATCAGTTAAAACACCCTAGAACAGATTTCATACATATTTAATGACAAATTATTAATATAATAATAATAATAGAGATACCTTAAATATGTCTTCCACATCTTTACTGTTAATATTGGGAATTGACTCGATATTAAAGTGAGATCCAAGTATTTCTGTTATGTCGTCTTTGGTATCTTTTGAATTGTTAGAATTAGAAAGAGAATCTGATATGTCAGGTTCCTCTGTTAAATTAGAATCTAAAATACATATTTTTAATAAAATTGACAGATTTTGAAACATTGTAATATTTTAATACGTATATAAAGCATGCTAAGTTGGGATTCACAAATATAATAATTAAATAGCAATTAGCACATTTTTTTAACCTGGTATTGTTATTAATCGAGAGATCGAAACAATTATTTTTGTGTGAACAATTATACATGTGTGAAACCCAACTTAGTTTGTTTTATATATTAAAATACTAAAATAAAAAGATTAGAATTTCTTCAAATTTAATTGCTGTTAAGTTTAACTTACCAGCTAACTTTTCAAGATTATCTGCATTTTTACTAAGCTCCTCATCATCTTCATTCATGATAGTATTTACAAGATCAGCGTCTAAAAGGTCTCCTGGCAAATTAAGCACATCCTTAAGGGCTTCTGAATCGCTCTCGTCCTCCTCTCTGGACACACAAACCGAGTCGTTTTCATTGTCTGTCTTGTCTCCTGTCATACTCCCTGAGAACAGCTTCAGGGGCTCTTTAGAATTTTCAAACTTCTCTTGCTTTGCTGTTACAGCAGCCACGGCTTTTATTTCGTCCTGCAAATATAAAAATAAGTTAGGAAAACACAATATTAAAATATGAAAGATGTTAGCTATTTACCTGAGATAATTGTATAGTTTTGGAGTCTTTTTCTTTCTCGTATTTAGAATTTTCCTCCTCGCTTCCGCTCGAACTGTCTAATTCTTTGTTAGTGTCCAAAAGATCACGCCCAAAAAAGGCTTCTTGAAGATAGGGTGGAAAACTTTCAACCAACTTATTTTTGGGCTTTCGACGGACCGGTTTACGTCTCGGCTTATCCGACGAGGTCTCTGCGAGGGATGATTGAGTTGGAGGTTCGGTCGAAGTAGGAGTCGTCTGACCTGGTAACATGTCCACATCGTCGGTGTCCATACCACCCCTAATACCTCTCATCCGTACCAAAAAACCACCTATTCCTGTAACAAGAAAGCAAAGAAGAATGAAGAATTATTTATATAAGAAAATTTAACATGCACATTTGTATTCAATATCAGAAAACTTACCCAACTTTTGTAAATTTCTTTGTCGTTTACGTCGTAAAACTGTAACGCCACTTTCCATGGTATACAGAGTAAACCCGTCAGGTGGAGGGCCGTCCTCTTTAGTCCATATCATTCCCTCTTTGTATATATCCTGAAGTTGTTCTTCTTTAATTTCTACCAATTCTAATTTTGCACTATCTTCCAAACTATTTTCTGTAATATAAACAAACGAGTATTTAAGTCAAAATATCAAATCTAATATCCAATTTCTAATATCCTACCTATACTATTTGTGCCAGCCACAACAGACTCAATAGTGGCCATAATCCCCGCCTCCTTGTCCTGCATAGGCAGCACCTTTTTTCTTTTCTTCCTCGTGAAATGTTGTTCCAAACTCATAGCTTTTATCAAACTGTGACCTGCCTCACTCAAATAGACTCCATCGACATAATAATTTTGGTTGGACTTCACCTCCGGGCTCTTCGTCGGCGTGGGCGGCTTAGGAATAGGCTGCTGCTGTTGCTGAGGCTGCAAATGGGGCGGCGGCACATCCTTAGGCCTACACAGCACACAACTGTACCCCTCTTCGGTGCATTTTTCTGCCTCAGCTTCTGTTTTAATCGAATCACAAATTGCATGCAACCATCGTTGACACTGTTGACATTGTATTATTAAATCGCCTTCTGAATATGATTCGGCGCAGCTTGGGCAGGTGTTATACGACGCACACCGCCCACATTCAGTGTAACTGTTCATCCAAGTACAATTGAAACCCGGATCTGTGGCCCCACACGTCTGACACACAGCGCACCACTTACACTTCCAATTGCCATGGGGCACGAAGTCAAGAGGCGGGTCCATGCAGTAGATGTGATAAGAAATATCACACTCATCGCACAAAATCAAACGAGCTTCGTCGTTACGCTGGCCACACCCCTCACATACCGTACAGTCCAAACAGCGCCAACCTTCAATTTTAAATTAAGAAACGTAAAAATTATCTTATGATTCCCTTATAAAGAAATAGCCAACAAAAAGCTATATTTATATCATTTAACATTGGATTATTATATTAAGCTTGTAACAAAAACAAGTTTTGTTATATTTAAATAAATAATCGTTTGAAAAATGTATAAGTTTTTACCTTTTTGTAACACAACCTTTGTAACTTTGACATTAACACAATAAGGATGATAGCATTGTCCACATTGGATACAAGCAATTAAACACCCTTCCTGATCAATGCCTAATGCCCCGCACATCACACATATGTCTTGCGTCAGCACGAACTTGTCTTTTGCTGAACACAGCACTAATCTGTATTAAAAAAAATTAGATAGATAAAAATAAGGCTTTATATACCTGTAGGTAACATTTACCTGTTTTCTACACCTGGTTCTTCATCGGTCTTACTACCGTCTCCTGTAGGGCGTTGCAATCCCACGCCTGGCACACCAAAGACGCCTCTCATTTTCGACTTAGGCCCCCTTTTTCGTCCAAAATCGTTCAAGCGTTGTTTTTTCATGAAACCTACTTTGCCAGGTAAGATCTTCCCTGTTCCTTTAGGACGTCCAGGCGCCGCAGTTCCCAAGCCTAACCTTTTCTTCGCTATTTTGCTTGCACTGTAAGGTTTACCTTTACCCAATCCAGTACCCCTATCTTCCAAAGCTAATTTTTCAGGATCGAAATCGTACGGAGATGGCTCTTCATACAAAGAGTCTTGAGATGCAGAAAGGGACTCTACAGGACTCTCATCGATACCTGAAAAAAAAATTAAAAAAAGTTTATTTCAACTAGTTCTTCCCCCTGCCATTAAAGGAATTGTTTGTAAATAGGTATGCAACACATCGTACATTTCAGCATAAGAAACTGCTGATACTAACTTTCATTTATGTAATACTAATTTGCCCTGTACTGACAGCACTTATAATTTTTTTTATATATAATATTACAACAAAATAGTCTTGTTAAAGTATATACTCACTATTTCTTTTAATCATAAGTTGTCTTCCCTGTTGCGTAATGTTCTTGCAATTAAGACATATGTAATCGAAATCGGGATTGGCTTCTTTTCTCTGTTGGTACAGCATAGGATCAGCATCGGGGTCACAACTACCATGAACGAACCTGACCAAATTTTTATTAGCGATCTTCTAACAAAACAGCAGTACTTTTCACAAGACTTACTTCCTACAAACAGCACATTGTACCATTTCCCTATACGCATGTGCCCTGTATGCGCGATGGCAAAGGGGACAGGAGAAGCCCTTATTACGTTGTTGGTAACACGAATCGCAAACGGTGTAGTGGGCATGCCAGCGGGACGACAGTCCGGCACCCGGAGTTCGTGAACCACAGTCTCCACATACTCTACAACACTGAAAGACAAAAATTGTTAACAAACTTTTTACAAACTCGTTAAATCAAAATAATTTTACCTTGCATTTCCACCCGTATTTCGGTATAGAGGTGACCACCGGTCTTTGACACATGGAATGGTAAACTTTGTCGCACTGTTCGCAGGCCATAAGCTTCGATTCGTCACCTACCATGCGACAAACTTGACAGATTTTGCATCTTCGACACTGCCAGCCTGCTCTAGCACCTGAAAATAGAAAACGCAATCAACCAAATAACTATTTAATGAGTTCTTGAAATCTTTTAACTTACCTGGCAACTGTGCCAGCCCCACACAAGTTCCATGGTAATGATCGCCACACAAAGAACAGAACATTAAATTGCTGATGTCACCCAATTCTTTACAAGTGTAACAAAAAGAAACTGAAAAAAAAAATTAATCTTTTAATAACTTTGTTATTTACCTAATTAATATAGAATACTCTTACGTTCACAAAATAGTGTGACCTGTCCTAAATGTGAAGAGCAGTAAGTTGTCAAACTTTTAAGTTCTTGAAAGGCACCTGAAGCAGTGGCACAGGGATAATGAAAGGCTTTGGTACATTCTTCATATTTGCACCTTAAACTCCCCCCAAATCGGTTACAATATGAACACTTTACAGATAAAGCACGAAGGACCACAGGACTTACATTTGCTAAAGCTGTACTTTCTGCAACAATAAATTATAATACGCATAATATATTATATATTACATCTTTAAAATTTAGAACGTTCAAAAAAATTATATGTACCATGTACTATGACATCTGCGGACCACGCAGCACAACTTCTATGCACGAAAAAATAGCCGGACGGTTCAAATATCGAAGACACTTCAGGTTCCTCCACATGTCCAATGATCGATAGCTCATCCACATACTCATTTGTAAGAGAGGGGTGTCTGCTCTTGTTGAAACCCTTCTGTCTACGACATGTAACAGGGCCACCCCGAGGACTTTTGTCTCCACTCTCCCGCTCTGGAGTTCTATAAAGAGGCTGCGAGTCCGTAACTTCCGGCGCTGCCTTTTGGGGGATAAAACCTTCAGGGCAAGATAGGCGCAATAACTCACCCTGACCTAGCTGACTCCTCTCCCCCAAATTACATAAAGAGCAAACCTTACCAGGCCTAAAAAAAGAAACAGTAAACAGAAGAGAAAAGAAATTTATTATTCTGAATAAGTACCATTGCTCAGGGGCATAAGGAGACTCTTCTGTAAACTGAAATTTGTTGGTTCTATCAGAATAAAAGGTCAAATCATCAGTAAACTGAAATTTATCTTTTTCAGGGGTAACAAAACTCCCAGTCTCGGGATCTAAATAGCTCTCATCTGCAGGTGATGTTGCTAAAGTAAAATCAAAATCAGGCCTATCTAAACTCTTGACTCTCCTTAAGACACCTCGAGAAAATCCCATAGTTTTCCATTTTTTTAATTTCACTCCTAAATTACTACTTCTTCGGCTAACCAAAGGTTTCCCTAAAATTTATTTTAACATATAAACCACTCTTTCAGATGCAAATATAATTTTTACTTACCTCCTTCTCTACGAGGCCTTCCTCTACCTCTTTTAATGCTCAAAGGTTTACCAGTAAAGGCAAAGGGTGGTGTTGGATCTTCATTATTATGTGGAGAGCAGGTTGTTAATGTAGCTGCAGAAGCAGGAGCAGATGATGGTAAGTGAAATGAAGACGGTGTTGCTTCAACAGGTTCATCTATCAGTTCTTCCTCATCTTCATCCAAATCAGAAGCATCACCCTCTTCAATATCCATTAACTCATCAGGATCAATGTTATTTGAACCACCAACTTCGTCCATCTTTTAGTTGTTCTAAAATGTAAACAGCACAACTAACACAACCAATTCAACCCAGGCAGGTTATAATACTTGTTGACAAAAACCAATATCACTTTTCTAAATAATTACATATCACAAAGATATCCTAAACTATTACTTACCTACAATTAGTGCTTAAATACAGATTATAAAGACCAACTATGCACAACTTTACCTTGGTTATGAAAAAGGTTAGTAGTTACACAATATTTTTTTTGATAAGGACAAATTCAATTAAATATGAAAGTATGAAGAAAACTGAACTCTAAATGCATTTACAATCCAACAGAAGTTTAATAATAAGAAATTGTGAAAAATACCCCAAGCGCCATGTCATACCTAAACACTGTTGTATACATAACGAAAGCGTCAAATTTTGAATACTACTCACCTAAAGTAAAAGAACGATGTAATATTAAACAGCATTAAACAATTGCAACGATCACGAATTGTTTACATAATGTAAAAAATTTTTTTAAACGAACTTTATACATTTCTCAACATCAACTAACAACAATAATTAAGGGCCATCCTATAATTACATACATTAATGCGTTTTGTCAGCCATTGCTGATCAACACTGACTGTGACTGACTGTCAGAAAAAGAACCAAAACTGAACTGACAAACAAAATCACTAAATTTGCAGAAATGCCAACATCTTAAAACATAATTTCAAAAATATAAATACGCGCCAAAATTGTATAAAATAAAAAGACTTGTTTTAATCTCCGCTTCTTTTTTATTTCATTTTGTAGAAGAATAAACATTTCAACTCACCTAATGAAGCTATTGTGATAGCGAAACAATTGATGTGTATTAAAAATTCTATGAAAGAGTGTTAACTTTACTTTTTTCCAAAAAAAAGGTTTTTTATACATTACCGTAACAAAAAGATATAAAACATTACGNTAAATTGAAATATGATAATAACAACGAATACACGCACACGATATCATGCTCATTACTCAAAATTAAATCTCGGCAATCGCAGTTACTTAAAAAAAAAAAATGAAAATTAAACTGCAAAATTAAAATTAATTTGTACCAACAATCTCCATTACTAAAAATTAATAAAAATAAATTTCCATCATTAACTCGATTATACAATGAACTATTTAAAGGAGACCGTAGGCACAAACGACACCAAGAAAATAAAAAACGAAATTCTAACTTTTTACGCAAAAGTAACGAAGAAAAAAAATTTCGAAAAAACCATTCACATCGAGTTTGAGCAGCACGTATTCTCACCAATGATACGGTTTCATACGTTTCCTGACCGAGGGACGGGAGGGTGCGCATAATCTCACTAGGGGTCAGCACACGTATTTGCTGATCGGCAGCGGAGGGATGGATTATGATTGGTCGATTGAGGGAGCCGTGCTCCTGGTAGTGGGGGTTCACGGTCACGTTGGGAGCAGGACCCGTGTGATCGCGCCCTCCCAACACGTGCTTGTTGTGTACGGTGAACTGTTGGTGCGTGGTGGGAGATGCAGGAGTCGGCGTAGGCAACGACAAGGGCCGGGGAGGAATTGGGGGCGACGAGTTCGACGATGACGACGACAAGGACGACGAACTCGAGGACGATGATGAGGAGGAACAGGAAAGGGATGCGACCGTCCCAGAGCTACTGGCATTCGAAATATTGGTTAGTAATGGTAGCATTACGGGGGTGATGGTTGTAGTAGTAGTTGGTGTTGTTGTAGTTGTTGGGGTGCACACCTCTGAAATGGCAGCGGACAATAGGGTTCCTTGGGTCTGCAAGGGGACGGCTGACGTCTTTGAGATCGCAGCCGCAGTCACTGCTGCTGAGGACGACGTCGTGCTAGCTACAACGCCTTCCTTGCTCATCTAAATCGTCATGGGGTCGAAAAATAAGCATATATTTAGGAAAAAACAGGATAAGTTAACGACACAAATGTACCGTTTTTTACGAAATAAAAGCAAACAATCACACGCTTAAAAATAAATGAATAACACGTACACATACGCGCACATAAATTAAACAAGACACATAGTACATACAGGATACCTCTGGAGTAGAATACCAATATAAAAATAGTCCAAATTTTAAGTACGGTCCAGTTTATAGTTTCTTTACGGTTGAATTCAAATGTCAGAGACAAAATGTATATGTGAAATATCCTGTATGCCGATAAGACTGTAGTTGGGTTAGTGACATTCGTTGCCCTTTAACGTTAAACCCCCAATTATAAAAAAAAAAACAAACGATTTGAAAACAAAAAGCCAAACACTTAAATATTCACACAATCAATCAGTTGTACTTCATAATTCTTAATCTGAAGGCACTTCTATGAAAATATATGTTTCAATCAGGGATTCCCCTATCGTACGTAATAACTTTTTTCAAGTTTGCTCACCTGTTGTTGTTTTTTCATTCTTAACGCGGACCTATTATCGCGGGCTTGTTGCAAGTAGGGAGCTTTCTGTTCGGTACTCAACGTCCTCCACTTTTTTATAATCTGCTTGTATCGATCATTCCATGTAGGATATTCGGTTTTCCATTCCGGATGGTTCATGTTGGCATAGAGAACGGCCGATATGGTGGCACCGGATCCTAAACCTTCATCAGCTTTCATTTTCTCTGAGGAACGCTGATTATAAGTAGAAGGCACCACAGCGTTAGTTGTTTCGACTTCGGTGGTTGCCACGCCTCCAGTCCCGCTGTCATTTATTGACACCCAGGGACTTGGAGGCTCAGAAAACGCTGGACTAAACTGGGGACTACTATAAAAAATCACAATGATAAAGTCAATATAAGAACAATTTATTTTTAAAATAACAGCGACTGTAACTTACTTGCTGTATTCAGAATGATAAGGGGATTGCGGTGGGAAGCTTATAGGTGAGTTGAGACTGTTTTGGTTAGCGTTAGTTAATGTTGTAGGTCTCATAGAGGCAGATACGACCTGAGGAAGAACAGGCTGATTGTTATTGCTGTTACTACTGCTGTATGTGCTATTGGTGACTGTATTAGACTTTGGAAATACCATATTACTTTCCTCAGATTCTTGTGATTCATCAGTTAAAACACCCTAGAACAGATTTCATACATATTTAATGACAAATTATTAATATAATAATAATAATAGAGATACCTTAAATATGTCTTCCACATCTTTACTGTTAATATTGGGAATTGACTCGATATTAAAGTGAGATCCAAGTATTTCTGTTATGTCGTCTTTGGTATCTTTTGAATTGTTAGAATTAGAAAGAGAATCTGATATGTCAGGTTCCTCTGTTAAATTAGAATCTAAAATACATATTTTTAATAAAATTGACAGATTTTGAAACATTGTAATATTTTAATACGTATATAAAGCATGCTAAGTTGGGATTCACAAATATAATAATTAAATAGCAATTAGCACATTTTTTTAACCTGGTATTGTTATTAATCGAGAGATCGAAACAATTATTTTTGTGTGAACAATTATACATGTGTGAAACCCAACTTAGTTTGTTTTATATATTAAAATACTAAAATAAAAAGATTAGAATTTCTTCAAATTTAATTGCTGTTAAGTTTAACTTACCAGCTAACTTTTCAAGATTATCTGCATTTTTACTAAGCTCCTCATCATCTTCATTCATGATAGTATTTACAAGATCAGCGTCTAAAAGGTCTCCTGGCAAATTAAGCACATCCTTAAGGGCTTCTGAATCGCTCTCGTCCTCCTCTCTGGACACACAAACCGAGTCGTTTTCATTGTCTGTCTTGTCTCCTGTCATACTCCCTGAGAACAGCTTCAGGGGCTCTTTAGAATTTTCAAACTTCTCTTGCTTTGCTGTTACAGCAGCCACGGCTTTTATTTCGTCCTGCAAATATAAAAATAAGTTAGGAAAACACAATATTAAAATATGAAAGATGTTAGCTATTTACCTGAGATAATTGTATAGTTTTGGAGTCTTTTTCTTTCTCGTATTTAGAATTTTCCTCCTCGCTTCCGCTCGAACTGTCTAATTCTTTGTTAGTGTCCAAAAGATCACGCCCAAAAAAGGCTTCTTGAAGATAGGGTGGAAAACTTTCAACCAACTTATTTTTGGGCTTTCGACGGACCGGTTTACGTCTCGGCTTATCCGACGAGGTCTCTGCGAGGGATGATTGAGTTGGAGGTTCGGTCGAAGTAGGAGTCGTCTGACCTGGTAACATGTCCACATCGTCGGTGTCCATACCACCCCTAATACCTCTCATCCGTACCAAAAAACCACCTATTCCTGTAACAAGAAAGCAAAGAAGAATGAAGAATTATTTATATAAGAAAATTTAACATGCACATTTGTATTCAATATCAGAAAACTTACCCAACTTTTGTAAATTTCTTTGTCGTTTACGTCGTAAAACTGTAACGCCACTTTCCATGGTATACAGAGTAAACCCGTCAGGTGGAGGGCCGTCCTCTTTAGTCCATATCATTCCCTCTTTGTATATATCCTGAAGTTGTTCTTCTTTAATTTCTACCAATTCTAATTTTGCAC